TTAATCTCTATTAATAAATCACAGATATCTTTTTGATGTACAAGCCGTACAATCATGGAGAAATGTCTGCAGGGGTTATTTGATGTGCAGAGTCGCCTGCCCTGCCATAGTATGGCTCCAGGCTGCTATGTGTTTTCACTTTCCATACATATTTTTTTAAATAGTTTATCTCTATCCTCCCTGTTGTCAAGCTGTCAGTCAGCTGTCATTTTTTACTGCTGTCAGTAAGCCTGCCTTTATCACACCCCAATTTGATGCTGTTAATCTGCTGTCAGCTTAAAAAATCAGACATCAAGACCTCCAAAATTACATTAACGATATAAGTTGGTGGTTAAACACTGGATAAAGTTTTTCAGATATGACTTTTAGTTATTCTCCTCTCTATAATTAATTGTATAATTGTGGGAAGACACATAATTTTTGTAGGCTACCTTAGTATCTTCATCCATAAAATGAGGAGGCCATCTGTGTATTGGTAAGATAGCAAGGAGACAGACAAGCAGAGAAAGAGACCAAGACAGACACAGGTAGACAGAGACAGAGACAGACACAAAGAGACAGAGACAGAACAAAGAACCCTAAATTTATCTGGATTCAGAAAGAAAAATAAACCTTAACTATGAATTAACAAAATTCAAGGAGGGGAACCAATGATCATTTACCGAATTCAAGATTGCTTTTTTGGTAATCATGTTGCTTAACTTCAGTTTTCTGAATGCACTTCTGATCATCCTTAAACTCCTTCACTTTGTTCTGCAGGACAACTGTCTCATTGTTGACTTCCTGACTCTTAGCTTTTCTTCTTATTTCAATTGTAACTTTTTTCTTGGTCAGCTCAAGAATCATTGGCCATTGTTAAATGGTTAAAGTGACAGAAGGAACCAGCAAAGGAGGTAGACAAGCAGTACTGTGTATGAAAATCAGAAGACTGTGTATTTTTGAAGCCAACTAAAGAATATGTCATAATGTGTAAAGTGCTGCTGATATGTTAGGAAACATAAGCACTGAGAAGTGAGCACGGGAGACATGGGACTCACTATTCATCCTAATGAAGACAGCCTTAATGCAAAGACCTGAAGAAAGAACGGAAGGAATAAAGTTGGAAGCAGTAAAAACTGGTAACTCTGTTGAGAAGCTATACAATAAGAGAAGCAGAGAAATGAGGCAGTAGCAGAAGGGAGAAATACAATCAAGAGTGATTTTTTAAATGTAAGAAACAATGGCTTTTTGCATGCTAAAAAGGAATGATTCAAAAGAAAGAAAAACAGAAATGATTCAGAAAAGCAGAAAACTAATGATGCAGAACAGAAAAGAAAGAATCACTAGAACAATAGTCTTTGAATATGCAAGAGAAAGTTATGGCAAAGAAGTGGACAATATGGCCTTCCTTAAAGGCAAAGTCATTTGATGATAGAAAGTATGTACATAGAAGCAGCTAATGTTGGTGTCAAATCTGAAAATTTGTTTCTGATTATTTTCTCAAACTCAATTGATTATGAGCACAGATAACTTGATAGTTGAGGTTTTTAGGAAAAGGAAAGCATGATTTAATATCTAAAAAGATAAAAAATGGTATGTTTGACAGATGATAATCCAAAGGCCCTATCTGAATTTAGGAGTAGAATTTTTTTTTTTTTTTTTAGGAGTAGAAATTTAGAGCATTCCATCACGTATGGTTGGGTATATTTTTCTCTAGTCATTTTTAATCCTGTAGTGAAGAAATGGGTTAGGGCTTTTGCCAATCCAACATGAAGCAAATGACAAAAAAGATTTGAGATCTTAAGACAGCAAAATATAAAGATGGAATACAGAAGTTAAGTTGCATAAAGAGAAAATAAATGTAAGAAGTCAACTCAATGGATAATAGTTTTGGGGAGGTCAAAAGACTGTTTCAATAGGAATGAGAAAGCAATTAAATATAAATATCAATATTAAAGCAATTAATATAAATCTCTCTGTTTATGTTAGACTGACCTTTTGGTAGAGTAAGTTTCCTGTTTTCATGAGTCACTTACAGGAAGGTGAGAGGTGGAGTGGAGATAATACTCTATATTCAGGTAGCAGTAATGTATGTGGGGGAGTTATAAATTAATGGGGGTAAAGGAGTTAAATAAGAGCAAATAATGTTTTACTGGGTCCTATTATATCCAACCATTATCCCAGTCATCTGGCATGCGTTATTTATTTAATCATTTCAACATCCCTATGAGGTGACAAGGTAAACATAATCAAAACCATGAAAGAATTTAGGTTCCGGGCTGGGGATTTAGCTCAGCAGCATAAGCACCTGCTTTGAAGCAGGCGGTTTTCAGTTCGATCCCCGGTACCAATAAAAATAAATAAATAAATAAATAAATAAATAAATAATTTAGGTTCAGGATCATTCCACTAGCACAAGTCACAGAGCTAGTAAGTACAAGCTAAGACCCCAGCATTTAAGAATATCCCTAAATGTTTAATGCATATAAGTAAATATTTTCAAAAGAATAGTTTCTCTTGCAGCTATTTTTCTAGTATTTGGAAATAAGGCAGGGGATAGTGAAGAAAGCAATAGATAATAGAGGTACCACAAGTTCATTATTACTGAATGCCTATGTGATAGTCATACTCTTCTACCAGACATTAATTTCATAAATCCTCATTAAATCTGTTAGAAATATGGCTTTCACTTCTTCTTTGGTAAATATCTATCATGCTATATTACATGTAATGTATTATACCAATAATTTACATCTTTTGCTCTTTTTTTTAACCACCTTGACTATTTGCCTTTAATCACTAAACATTTTTCAACATCTCAACAAAATAATATGCTTTTAAAACTGATAGCATTAGAATTACTGTCATTAATATAAACAATCACTTACTATATGAGTTTGGGTTGTATAAAGCAAATTACCATTTGAAAATAATTTAAATAACACTCTGGGCTAAGACCTTGCTTATGAACGGTATCTTGGCCACAATTTTTTTTTTCTTTTTTTGGTATGGGGATGAAACTTACAACCTTGTGCTGCTAAGCTATATCCCTTGGCCCTGGTCACAATATTTCTTCTCCTCTTCTTTTAGCTAGATTCTTTTATGCTAACATGGTCCAAATTAATAAACTATTCGATTGTCACATATGTTTTAAACATAAGATATAGAAGCATACCAGACACAAATAAACTTTGGACATTTATTTGAAAATCTATAGCAGTAATAATTAAGGTGAATTACAACCACTTAATTAAAGATATTCATTTTCCCATAGAGTATATGAAAAACATTTCAAAAAATAAGGCTGATATTTTAAAATTCAGATACATAACTATGTTAAAGTTAATGATAAATCTCAAGTATAAAAATTACAGTTTTCAGAAACTGAAAATCTTTCATCACACCTAGGAAAACTGTGTATCTGCACAAAGTTCCCTATTCATGGATTTAACCAACTATAGATCAAAAACATTTGAGAAGGAAAAAATGCATCTGCAATGAATATGTACAATTTCTCTCTTGTCATTATTGCCTATTACTACGTAACAACTAGATGCATATCCTTCATATTGTATCAGATACTATAAGCAATTCAGAGATGATGTGAAGCACACAAGAGAATGTATGTAGGTCATATAAATAAGGCTTGAGAGTATGTGGATTTTAGTATCTCTGGAGAACCAGTCTTGCAAAAGTATGAACATATAACTACACACACACACACACACACACACACACACACTCCTGAAAATTGTGATATTAGTTCAATTTAGCTTTATAATTTTCGAAAGAGCAAATAGATCTTAAATGTTATTGACAAATGACTTATAATGACAGGAAGCTTTCACAGTATTTGGAAATTTCAATCAGAAATCACACAACTTAGTTTAGACTTAATCCAGTCCGTGACAATCTTAAAATGACTACAAGCCAGTTTACTTCTTCTCTCAGCCTCTGTTTTTCTGAAATCCATAAAGTAAGGATTGTGCAAGGTGGTCTAACTTAAATTTTATGCCTCACTAACTTGATTTTTGTATAGTGCAGATTTTTTCACCAATGAAATATTAACCAGTAAGACACTCAAATAATTCAACATTGTGGGTACAGATGAGGACTACCATCCCAACAGCAAAACCTGGATGAACTCAGTAAGTTTAGAACATAATGACTAATGCTGACATCTTGCACAGCATGTATGATATTAAATCATTCCCTGCCTTCACTTCAGAGATTGGGAAGAAACAGCTGTCCCTGAACTCCTTTTAAGGACGCAGTCAATTACAAAACAGCAGCATCCCCACTTAGTGTGAGTCTTACTGAAGTAAACTTTCTATTCACAAGGGAGAAATATTCCTGGTGGTAGTAAAAATAGTTTTGCAGGGCTTAATCAAAAGTGAAAAAGAATTCCAAAATGTTCCCTTTGAGCCACATCATCCATTGCTAATTCAGGGTGGGCCCAGTAACAAAGGTAATAAAAAATGTCCTTAATAACTGAGAAAGAAAAATGGCTATGAAGTACATTTGCAACTCAATTTGAAAGATTTAATAGTTTATTAATATAAATAATATCAATGAAGAAGGAAAAAGTACAAGAGATCAACGTGGGAAATTAAAGGCATCCAAACAATGAAATTTAACATAGATTTATTTAGAAGAGTTACTATGATGCATATAAATCAATGAGGATAAGATGAATGCAAAAGTTAAGAAATAGGTTTGACAACAGCTTCTGTAACAACAGCAGCAAGACAACAGTAAGTGTTGAAAGCCAAAGTAGCATACAAGGACAAAACGTATAAGTAAAGAAAGGAAGAAAGCAGTCTGCACCAACCACTCAGTGATAATTTGTAAACATGATTATTTACAATCTTCATAAATCACAGCCTGGTGAGATAGAACTTAATTCTCTAATTAACTATGCTGATGCTGAAAAGTTGCAATTGGCAAGAAGAATATCAACTTCTACATATTTGAGAAGTAATTTATGACACAAAATTGAGAACACAGTCAAAGACACTGACCTGCTCACATCAGGAAACATGATGGGAAAGTAAATAACTTGGCACTTGGGTCTGATGATGCTTTCCAGATCCTTGGGTCTGTGATCAGGAATCAGCTTCATAAATTTCCCAATAGAAGTGAGAAAGGACTCCATATTAAAAACTGAGTTGAATACAACTACATCAGCCACCAAGCTGTAAAGGGACAAGATAAATGCAAATGATGAGACTAGATTCATTTAGAGTTATTTTTATAATATAAACAGCATCAATCAGAGTTTACATTCACCACAGGCATAAAAAGAACATTTTGTTTCCCATCAGTATCTATCAAAGTGTCTCTAATAGGAAAGTTAGTGTCATTAGTGTTCTATCACAGGAAGTTGTATTTGGTGGCATCAAGGAGGAAAGGTAACAAGAGTACAAAAAAGATTTAATGGGATCACATGAGATTGCATATGTCCAAAGCATATGTCACCATGATGCGGAACTTTCCAAATCAACAACACTATAAGTACAGCAAGTCTTCTTTTGCTGTACCCCAACTAACCACATTAGTTTCTCTGACAGTGATGCACTTTATTTTACACTGCACTACTGAGAACAGGATGTTTACAATATTTGTCATTACTTAATTCATATAAAGCTACTTTTGTCCTATAATATATATAACACTATATATAACAATATTTAATTAAAATCTATGTCCTGCTTTAGGTTTTGCTTTTAAAAAATTATGTTAGACCTTCTAAAGTTCAGGAGCTACACAGGAAGGATGGTATCTCTACAAATAATTTATTTCACTACTACATTCAATGTAATCAGAAAAATACAAACAGTTAGTGGAAAGGGATCCAGAAATACATATCATTCAATCTTGCTCATTACATAAAACAATGTATCATAAAAGACTATAAGATTATACATCTTTAAAATTAAACAAACCAAATATAACATTGGCTACCACTTTTCACAAAAGACTGTATTCTTCTCTTTAATGCTTTAAAATAAAATTGTTAAATGAGAATATGAAAGCAGAGCCAAGCATGCATGCAATACCAGCATTACGGGAGACTAAGGCAAAAGAATCAAAAGTTCTGGGCAACATAGTTACTTAGGGAAACACAGTCTCAAAAGATATACCTGAGCATGGGTTCCATCTTCATCACCAAAAAAAAAAAAAAAAAAGGATACAAACGTCAACATTTTTCAGATTGTCTATAAAATTTTCTTGAGCACCAATGAGCACAATGGTAACTACAGAGAACCTGAATAAAACCTGAATGGGTAGTAGTATCACTTTATGAATTGGAAATTAATTTAATAAATCACCAATCTTGATTTCTGAAAATGACCCATTTCATTTAACCAATGATTCAGTGTCACTGTAGCTTAGTGAAATGCATACAAATACTTCCACAAGCAGGTAACATAAGATTAAATATACAAAACAGTTGGTTTTATTCTTCCCTATAATACATAATTAATGATACTGAAAAGAAAATATACAATGAGAGGCTGAGGTAGGAGAATGGCAAGTTTGAGTCCACTATGGGAAATTTAGCAACTTAGCAAGACTCTTATCTCAAAGAATAAAAAAAAAAAAATTAAATTAAAAATTTAAAAAGTGTTGGAGATATAGCTAAGGGGAAAAGCTGTGGGTTTAATCTCCAATCACACATTGAAAAAGGAGAAAGGAAAGGAAAGGAACAGAACAAAAAGGACAAGAAAAAGCAAAGCAAAGGAAAAGAAAGGAGAAGAGGAAGGGAGTGAAGGGGAGGGAGAGGGGGAGAAGGGAGAGGGAAAAAAGAAGCATGTATAAAGGGGAAGTGAGCTATGGGGGAGAGAAGGAAAAGGAGAAACGGGAAGGGAGGAAAGAGGAGGGGAGAGGAGAAGAGAGGAAAAAAGACATAGAAGTATATGTGCAAAATTTAAAATCAATACAGCTTATAGACTGGATTAGAAACACCAAAACTTCAGTTTAGATTATATCATATTTATTGAGCTAAATTTACTATTTATATTTTTACAGATATAGATTTACTATTATTAATACACAGTAAAATGAAAAACGAATGAAAGAAATCTTGACCTGCCAGCCCCACGCCTCTCTTCCAAAATTAGTTTTGCATGCAAGTACTTTGCTCTCAGGTGCTACCTGGTGCAAACCTGGGGAGTGGGGGAACTACAACATGGATAATACAAAGGAATGTCACAGAAGTGCTGACAAAACACTAAGCAATGCAGAACCCAGTATAACACTATCTAAAAGTTGAAGAATGTTTACAGCTAGTCTGTTTTCACCATATGTCACATATTACAATAGCGATCCACAGATCATAATATATAGTTATGACACGTGTTCATAAGTCAGAAGGTTAGTGAAACCTCTGTTAAAGGTGAGCACTAATGTCAGTCATTTTTAAAGTCTTTAACTGCCACACAGTCAAGAAAGAAATCTGACAGTGCCAACAAAAGCAGAAGTCAGCAAGAAAACTAAAGAAACATTTGAGGAAGCAGGAGTCATACTTTTCAAAAAGAATCAGAACAAGACTGCTTTCTGACACTCTGATTTTTCCTGTGGACAACTGTGAACTATTTTTTCCCATTAATAAACCAAAGGGTGATGAAGGCCACTTCTTTCCTCCAAGCATGTCTATCAGTTTGCCCTCTTGAGAAGAAAAAAGCAAAAATCATGTGCAAGCTTTTATAGTTTCTTTCTTTATGAAAAAAATTATAAAAGGCAGGGGGGTGAGTAATTTTTTTAATAGACGTTTGCCCTCAAAGGCATGTGACTCAACTACTTATACTCTTTAAAATCTAGTCTATTACAAATTAAAGATTCAAGACAGTCTACAGAAATATTCTTTTTTGGCACATTTCAATCCTGATATGAGGGGGTGTAATTTCCATTAACTTTAAAGCCACCCATAAAGGGAAAAATAGACTTAATTTTTTTCCAGTGATTTCTCAAGGGTAATAAACACACACTATCTAAAGAAAAAACTGATGCTAATTCAAGAAATCATAAAAATATTGCAAATGTTTCCATATTGATAAAGCACTAAATGATTTTATTTTTATTTTTAAAACATGTTTCCCCTCTCTGTTTCAATATGAAATATTTTAATTTTATTATGAAATTTTAAAACAGTTGCTTTTTTATGAGATATCTGACGTGAAGCAGTTCCACTCTACTTTGATAGCACTGCTACTTTATAATTGAAGCAGCTTGTAAAAATGATTGCGGGAAAACATTTACAAAATGCTCAAAAGACAGAATTATCATATAGCTATTTTTTCTATGTCACTTAAACTATGAAACAGAATGGCAGGAGAGGAGGATTTGCTTAAACATATTATCAATCTCCATGGCTAATAACTGCTAATAAAGGTGAATAAGATGTACATAATCACTGTCAAACTGATTCCCTTTGACTAGTGCAGTTACATTATTAGGCTCCAATAGCAAAGCCATTTTGGGTTGTTACTAACTTCTTTACCAGGAGATAAGACTTTGAGGAAGACAGATCCTCTCCTTTAAAATGTTATGGTATTTTAAGGCTGCAGCATTTCAGAGAACTCAATGAGGAGAAAAAAAAATAAACAACATCAAAAAACTCATTCTCTGTAGTTTTCTGTCCTAAAAACAATGGGGGAAAAGAACCCAAAGTCCTTTGCTTTATTCTGCATTAATTTTTTTCTCTGTAAATTTCTATTTTGATTTTAGCTGAATACAGTGAAAGAGACTGACAAATATAAGTTTGACTAGCTGCCCTTTCTAAAAGCATGTTTTCAACAATAAATCACAGAATCAAGGGGTGAAATCACAGAATCCCTGCCAACCTCTTGATTCTATTTTGCATGTTATGAAAAGTTAATTATTCTAACATATAATTGGAATGTTTTATGTATATGTGTATATTTATGTACACACTTATTAAAAGACAAAAGGAGTAACTATTATTCTATATATTCTGCAGAGCACAAGTAATTATTATCATAGAAGGAATCTTGTAAACTACATAGCTACCTTAACGTGTTTGTAAGTGTACAGTAGAGCTCCGTTATGGATTGAGAACTGGTGGTCAAGTTAACGCCAGCTGGATTACATTAGCATGCATTGAGCAAAGATGCTCCACCTGAGGAGGGTTACCAGGAAAAATAGGTGGAGAAGAAGGGAGGTGTTGAGGGTTGAGGTGTTAAGGAGGCATTGTGGGTTCTCCTATGAGTTGCTGTCTGAGGTGTTGGTTCTCCTGGAGAAGCTTAGGTCCTCACACTGAGCACTGCTTCCTAGCTCTGGAGGGGAAGACACGTGCTGCTTGGTCTCCAGGATGAACTCGTCACGCTGCTTCCTAGGACGTACCCAACTGTGCTTGTCGTCGGGGGAGCTCAGGGCCTCCGTGTCGCTGAGGACAGCTGTGGTGCCTTTCAGGATAGCCCTGGTCTTTGTTGTGAGTGTGACTTCTGGGGCTCCAGCGTAGAACCTTCATCCCACTAGCACAGTTCCTTCACCCTGCTGGCATAGACTTTCTGGCTTCCACCGCTGATCTTTGGGTCTTCCCGGCACAGATCCATAAAAGAGACTGGCGTGAGTCCTTCTTGTGGGCTCTGGACCTCCAGTTGGACTCGTGGGAGGCATTGTCCTGAGCTCTGGGTTTTTATCTGGGCTCTTGTGGGACATTGCCATGGGATTTAGGCTCTTGACTAATCTGTCTTTGGTGTTGCAGATAGATTTCCTGCATTTTCCTGTGTTAATTCCCGGTGACCATTATAAAAATATTATAAATTCCATATCCTAATCCTAGTTGTTCTCTGTGTACAACCCCTGACTACAACAAGCTCCAGATATAAAAGCTAACCATTTGCAAAGAAAAAAATGGCAAAGGACAAAAAGCAATGCACTCTATACCAACCATGAAAGAATTTGGTTGTATCCATATTGAAAATCCCTCTCCTGATACTTCTTGACAGGATATACCAATTGGTTTTCATGGAAGTACAGAATCTTTTTCAGTTTCCCAAGGTCAGGCCGAAGTGCAACCAGTTCAGTCAGGTTAAGCACTGAGCTTGCAAAGAGGACCCTAGAAAACAGAGAAATTAAGGTTTACTGTCCTAAGTATGCTTGATGGGGTCAACATTTGCCCTTTTCTCTTCTTTACTCCTCCCACACAAGGAAAACACATCACCTATAGGGATACATCAAAAGTCAGGCCTTAATACCATGTACCAGCATTTACATTCTAAAGTTTGATCTCTTAAAAAGCAACCACTAAGATCTATAAAAGCCCTGAATCTCAATGGTCTTCTCAGCCCAGTTACTGAAGAAAAAAAAAAAAAAAAAAAAAGAATCTAGAAGGATTATATTGAAAAAGGCAAAAAAAAAAAAAAAAAGCTGTATCCGAAGAACAAACCAAATATTAGGCTGGTGGGGAATATTTTGCTTGCTAATTTCATTACACTTGCTTTTTTTTTTAATGCAACCAACTACTGAAATTTAATACATAAGCAGGAATGGCACATGTTCACGTTATGATATAAACCCTTCTGATTTATGCAATAGACATCCACTGTAGTCGCCTACTCCCAGCATGTTTTCTCACCAACCCCATTTAAAGTACCCTATAAAGATCTTTTCTTCTCCATTATTGAACCGGTAAGGTATCAGATATACAATCTATAAAAACTCTTATATAAACCACACATGAAAAATGATGAAAGGTTTATTCATTGTCTTTGGAAAAAAATAAGCTAAAAGCAAACCTATCTATCATAAAAGCAAGCATTTACTTACTCTCATTCTACAAACTTTTTTTTTTTTTCTTTTTACTTTGCTGACTATTACTATGTGATAGAATGGAACTAGGACAAATAGAAACGATGAACAAGACAGCTCACTGAGTGAATATTGTCTTTCATAGGATATATGAAGTATTAGAAGAACAAACATAAACAAATATCTTCTAATGAGATATTTACCACACACACAAAAGAAAGACAAAGTATGGTCCCTGAGCAGCTGAGGACATTCAGATGTCATTTTGATAGAATGGCACCTTTATAACATAATGAAACATTCTTTGACCCTTCTGGATTTAATTCTCATTCAAAAAAAAAAAAAAAAAAAACAAAAAACAAAAAAAAAAAAAAACAAGGTTCAAGAAGGTTAAGAATTCTTTCTGAAATCTCACCAGTAGAAAGTTTCAGCAAAGCAGTGACTATTAGTCTTCTAAGCCTGAAGTGCTTTTCATTATATTACAAATACAAAACGGTTGTGGACACTTTACATTGAAAATGCTTTTTTCTGTGCTTAATAAATCTAAAATATCATCCTTGCTTTATCATAATTGCAACTATAGTAAATTCTCCCTTGCTGACAAGCCAAATGGCTAACTTCAGGTGTTTGCATGATCTGCAGCACAAGCCTTTCACACAAGAAGAATGATTATATAATAAGTACATACATCATAAACAGGACTTCAAGTACCTTCTTCATAGGCTATAAGGAGCGCGTAAGATCAAAAGCCAGTAATCCCTCTTTAAACCACATATTAATTTTATTTTTTATCACTTTAAAGTTTTAAAAAATTCTCATCAAGGAAGTGTCATTTATTTTTAAATTGTTTAACCCAACCAAAGCAAATAGGAAAATTATGGTCATATAATGCCCTGTTTTGTCCAAAAATAATCACTGTCATTACTATTACCATGAAGTCCAATATAAGACTTTCTAGAAATTATAATGAAAAATTCTGAAAATATGAAAATATTTCTTTACCTATAAAAATACTGATTTATTAAATATCAATTTCTGTAAAGCTAAGCTTCCTGAATATGGAATGGATGCTGATTGGTGTGTCTATTACTGAGTCATTATTTTCTATTCTCCCTCTTCCCTACCACATACACTATTACAAGGATGACTTGCAATTTTAATGAAGTTCTGAACAAGCTGACTCCATTTTTCATGCACAAAGAAGAAATATGCATTAAATGCACCCCTATATAACTAATTGATTACAAGGGAAAAATGCAATGAGTGTCACTTATTCACTCTAGGACTTGTAATGAAGAAACTTGGTACACATTTGCTTGACCAAGTAAGCAAACTTAATATACTACATAAATAACAGGAGAAAATGAAATCATGTGTCCCCAAATGTGATGCATTGAGAAAAGTACAAATCATTGATGTAGTATTCTGCCCCAAAATGCCTGATATATTTTGACATGAGGAAATAATCAGACAAATATTCTACAAAATAACTGCTAAATCTCCAAAAATGTTAAAGTAATAAAATTTTTTTAAAAATCTAGATTGGATGAAAATAGAGATTTCAAAACAAAATTCAATAATTCTTGATTGATGTGACTGTTAACTGACTGTGTCATCTTGACTAAAAAGCGCTCAATTAAATTGGATCAGCATAGTTCTAAGTATTTCTGATGAGAGATCTGACTGGGGTGCAAGTGTTGCCAACCAATAAGCTTTCTGCCTGATGGAATTATAAATGAAATGAAGAAGGAGAGATCCAACAGGGTATTTAGCTCAGTGGTGTAAGCGCCTGCCTGGCAAGGGCGAGGTCATGAGTTCAATCTTCAGTATCACCATCCCCCTAAAAAAGGGAAAAGCTCCTCTTATGCTTCTTCAGAGGAGCTGCAGTCTTCACCTTTACCTTACATTATTCCTGGATTCTGGCACAGACTCTTCAGCCTCCAGATACCGACTCACATGGGGCACTGCAGTGGACTGGAATGTTCAGATCTCTAGCACACTGAAAGTTCTTTTGCATGTTTCCGCACCTGACTCTGTCAGTGGCTATTATAAGCCCATTTTGTAAATTCTTAGAAAATATTTCTATATCTTGGGTTAAATCTGTTTCTCTAGCAAGCACTGAGTGATACAATGGACTTGAATGAGAAAACATAGTTACAAAGGTCATTATCAGAACAACAGAAATTTGAATATGGACTGAATGCAAGATTATACATTTTTATTGATCTTGAATTTTTCCCATATAACACTTTTATTCCAGCTACTTAGGAGAATAACCTTATTCTTAGAAAACTCATGTCAAATTATTTACATATGAAGTGTCATAGTGTCTACAACTAATTCTGAAATGGTTCACTAAAAGCACTACTACTAATAATAAATATTTATATATACATATTTACATAGATAGAAATTTAAAAGGGCACAAAAACATTAACAATGGATTAATCTGTGTAAATTAGATGCAGTTCAATGTCCTACTGCAAATGTTTGATAAGTTAAGCATTTATAGAACTACAGATTTGGGGGAATATGAATTAAATGGTAGTAAGTGAAAGAAAAAAACTTTATTCCCTAAACAACAAAACTATCAAATATATATGTCTAAACATAATCCAACTGTTAATTTCCTACATAAAGATTTTCCTCAAGTTGAACCATCCGTAGCAAATGTTTAACCAAGGTCCTTCATGATACTTTCACATATCCCTTCTCCTCTTACCCTACCAACTGATCCATAATTAAAGGATCCAAACTGAAAGTCAAGCCTTCCAAAAACAAAAACAAAAACAAAAGAGAGAGAAAGAAAAAGAAAAAAGAATCTTCCAAATAAGAGAATACAACATCATCAAAAGAAAAATGGAAATTATCATAATACTATCCATCTGAAACTGCCCATACAAGGCTTCTTTCAGTTTGTTGAAAGAAATTAATTGTACTTGTATAACATATCTTGAAACACTCCTCATTTACCTCCATCATTAGCAAGTACTTTTCTTGGTGTTTTCACTTGTACAATGGTAGTTAAACTGCACAATTAGCAATTCTTCATATCTTTAGTTTAACATCCAAAAGATTTGATGATGTATGTACAAACACACACAAACACACAAAAGCAGGCATGAGCCATAGGCAAGTATTACCTTGTTCCCTACCATTAACTTTTTAAAGTTAATAATCATACAGTGAATGGCAGCACTCAATCAGCAGTTAATCCCTAGGCAACCAATGTTCATCTTGCTTCAGGTATTATTTAAGCAATAAATTCTAACAAGGTGCACTTTATCATTCCACAGTGTGACTCTGGCAGGAAGGGCACAAGGTGATAGCAAAAACTACTAGGAACAAGATAATTCCTGACAGCTGCTGTTTGAGCACAAGTTAAATTGAACAGTTTATCTCAGCATGAAGATGTTATAAGGTTTTACGTTTAATATTTTAAAATTAACATAAAACCCAGGGAAAGCAGTTGGGCAATCTTTCACAAACATGACATACTACAATCACTATATAAGCTGGATTAGTACTTATTACCATGCTACTACAGAAATAAGCTGTTTTTAGACCACCAAAGAGCTTTAAATTGCAACTTTTGTCTCTGTAAAAGAAACCTATATTTAAAACGTCTGCTAAATTCAAATTAATGGCTACATCATTAGCTTACTATTTCACCCAAAGTACAAGTTGCTATTATAATCGTCTAACCAAAATGGCTCTATGCTGTAAGCACATTAACATCATTTGGGGTAGTACCTATATAAATACTTTAATTGTCGCTAGTGCACACTGTATGTACAATTTGAGCCATATTTGCTTAAAAACTCCAAAACACAATAAAATTCAAGATTACAGATTTTGTTTTCTGCTCCATTTGAATAAGCCAGTTTTTCTTTTGTTTCTTCCCTTATTTATATAGCATGTAAAAAGAGATGCTGAAATATACCCAAATCCTATAGAAATGTTCACATTATTATCAAGATGCACACCTTACTATCACAAATGGTACAGAAAGGCAGTGGAACAAGAAACAGAGGACAGACATTTTATATTCCAACCGCTGCCCATACAATCTACTAACGGTCCTTCGTGATCTTGGTTATCTTACTCTTGCCCCATGAAATCTTTTCCATAGGAGCCCCCTCCACACACACCCTGAAACCATTTATCTCACAACAGGATAGAGAACACAATAGAACAGATATTAGTTTAGTTTGTGTTACTCATATACAAACAATTTCTTAGATAGCTTCAGATGGCTCTGGACAAGAGTAAATCCTTCCAGCTGGGTCATATGGTTCAAAACATGAT